GAATACTGAAGTGGTTTGTCATTCCCTCTTCCAGTGGAGCACATTTTGTCAGAACTTTTCACTATGACCTGTCTTTCTTAGGTGGCCCTGCATGGCATGGCTTCATTAAGTTATGCAAGTCCCTTCACCATGACAAAGCTGTGATTCATGAAGGGGTTACATGTGGACAGAGGGCCATTATGGTAGGAAAAGCCTATTGGAAGCCACTAGAACTGCCTCTATCAAGCACAATATTAATAATAAACCAAAAGGAATGACTCATTCCCTCAAGATTAGAGTGATTAGTACCACCATCAAGAACTTGACGGATGAAGGGTTGTAATTTTCACCCCATTCTCATTCTACTTGCCTATTTGACTTGTGAAGAAAACATGTATTTGGGGGACATACAGTGAATTATCATTAATATAACCTGGTGGTAACTCCAATTGTAGATGCTGTTCCAGATGATCCATTAAATAGCTTAAGAAAATTAATAATCCCCTAGTTTCTGGTATACAGTATATTGATTTCGCAAATGCTTTTCCCTCCATACGTATTAGGATAGATCACTAGAAACAGTTTGTCTTCAACTGGTAAGGTCAATAATACATTATAATTGTCTTGCCTTGGGTATATATCAACTCTCTAGCTCTATGTCATAATTTAGATTGCATGGGTCTTGATTGTCTTCTCCTTCATCAAGACATCATATTGATCCATTACACTGGTTACATTATGTTAAATGAAACTAATGAGCAAGAAGTAGCAACTACCGTGGACTTATTTGTCCCATTAGTAAGACACTTTCATGTCAGAGGGTGGGTAATAAATTCTACAAAAATTCAGTGGCTCTTCATCTCAGTTAAAGTTCTAGTTGTTCAGTTGAACCTGTCAAGATATCCCTTCTAAGAAGAAGGATGAGTTGTTTCATCTGGCCCCTCTTATAACCAAAAAAGAGGCACAATGCTTAGTGTGCTTCTTGAGGCAACATAGTTCTCATTTGGGCAAGCGACTTTGGTCCATTGATTGAGCAACCCAAATAGCTTAGTTTTGAGTGGGACTCAGACAAACACAATTACACTCATCTCCCATGCTAGTAAAGTGAAAGTGAAAGTTGCTCAGTTGTGTCCAACTCTGCTACCTCATGACTGTACTATCCATGGAATTCTCCAGGCCAGAATTCTCCAGGCTACCACTGGAGTGGGTAGCCTTTCCTTGTCCAGGAGCTCCTCCCAACCCAGGGGTTGAACTCAGGTCTCCTGCGATGCAGGCAGATTCTTTACCAGCTGAGCCCCACCATGCTAGTAAGGTCATGCTTAAAATCTTGCATGCTAAGCTTCAGCTTTATGCGAACCAAGAACTTCCAGTGTCCAAGCTGAGTTTAGGAAAGGAAGAGGAGCCAGAGATCAAATTGTCAATATTTGCTGGATCATAGAGAAAGCTAGGGAATTCCAGAAACGCATCTACTTCTGTTTCATTGACTATACCAAAGCCTTTGACTGTGTGGATCATAATAAACTGTGGAAAGCTCTTAAAGAGATGGGAATACCAGACCATCTTACCTGTCTCCTGAGAAACCTGTATGCAGGTCAAGAAACAACAGTTAGAACCCTGTATGGAACAATTCATTGGTTCAAGATTGAGAAAGAAGTACAACAGAACTGTCTGCTGTCACCCTGCTTGTTTAATCTGTATGCACATCATGAGAAATGCTGGGCTGGATGAGTTACAAGTTGGAATCAAGGTAGGGGGGAAAAACATAAACAACCTTAGATATGCAGGAAGGGAAAAGGAACTAAAGAGACTCTTGATGAGGGTGAAGGAGGAGAGTGGAAGAGTCAGCTTAAAACTGAATACTAGAAAAACTAAGATCATGGCATCCCGCCCCATGACTTCACGGCAAATGGAGGGAGAAAAGGTGGTAGTGACAGCTTTCCTCTTCTTGGGCTCTAAAATCACTGCAGATGATGACTGTGGCCATGAAATCAGAAGACATTTGCTTCTTAGTAGGAAAGCTAGACAGTGTTGAAAAGCAGAGACATTACTCTGCCAACAAAAGTCCATATAATCAAGGCTATGGTCTTCCCAGTGGTCATGTATGGTTGTTGAGAGCTGGACCATAAAGAAGGCAGAGTGCCAAAGAATTGATGCCTTCAAATTGTGGTGCTGGGGAAGATTCCTCAGAGTCCCTTGGACAGCAAGGAGATCAAAGCAGTCCATCTTAAGGGACATCAACCCTGAATACTCAGGACTGATGTTGAGGCTGAAACTCCAGTGTTTTGATCATTTGATGTGTGTGAAAAGCTGACTCATTGGAAAAGTCCCTGATGCTGGGAAAGATTGATGGCAGAAGAAGAGGGCATCAGAGGATGAGATGGCTGGATGGCATCACTGATGCAAGGGACATGAACTTGGGCAAACTTTTGGAGATGGTGAGGGACAGAGAGGCCTGGTGTTCTGCAGTCCATGGGTCGCAGACAGTCAGACATGACTGGGCAACTGAACAACAACAAGAGAACAAGATTCCCTAATAAGTCCAGGATGCCAATGTTGCCATGTAAGTTGCTCCACAACTTGGGCTAGGTGATCCAGTAGATCTAATTGTGTTTAAAGTATCAGTAGCAAAGAAAGATGCTATTTGGAACCATTGAGACTGACAGGCAAATCATAACGCAGACCCTTGGCTTTTGGAGCAAAGTCATGGTATCCTCTGTGGATAACTACTTTCTTTTGAGAAACAGCTTTTATATTGCTACTGGGTCTTAGTAGAGAATGAATGTTTAAATATGAGCTACAGATGGTTTTGCATGATATGCAGGTGCCAAGTGAAATGGACAGCTGCAGCACTAAAGTCTGTTTCTGGGACACTCTTAGGACAGGGATAAAGGATAATTCTCCCTATGAGCAGAATGTTGAGCATCTTATTCATTTTGCTTAGAAAGAAAAATGGCCAGATGTATAAGTATACACTGATCCATGGACTGTGGCCATGGTTTGGCTCGATGATCAGAGATCTGGAACATAACTGGAAAATTGCCAACAAAGAGGTCTGGAGAAGAGGTATGTGGATAGAGCTCTCTGAATGGGCAAAAAGCATTGGTATATCTGAGTCCTAGGTGAATGCTCACCTAAGGGTGACCTCGGTAAATCAAGTGATAGGATGAAGTGTGCTGTGGATACCAGATTCTTTACCCAGCCACTCCTATCATTACCAAGGGGCTTGTGAACAAAGTGGCCGTTGCGGCAGGGATGGAGGTTATGCATGGGCTCAGCAACATGAGAATGTGTGCTCCATGACGGAGGGACTGTGGCTGTTTGCTATACTCCCGTGCCCCCAGAGCCCATACAGTGTTGTCACATAAAAGTGGGAATTTAATACTTGAATATATATAAACTACAAAAGTTTCAAAATATAGTACTAAGGAACAAGGCCATGAAGCAACTCTTGGCAATAGTTTATTATTTAGAAATAGAGATGATCATGGACATTTGTGAAATTCTGTGCTTAACGTGAGTCAGTGAGTGAGTGATAGCCGCTGAGTCATGTCCAACTCAGCTTTCTTTACTTCCTTTGCAATTTAACTATTATAAGGAACTATTCAAATATCTGGACTATAGGAAATACTTGTAGTAAGTTTGTACTTCAGATTTTTGTGACGATCAACTTCAAGTCTATTGTCTCCTCTGAAAAAAAAATCCTGTTAGATGATAGATGTGGTTTAGAAATATCAAATATACTAAAATACAATTTAGACATCTACAGGAGGTATTCTGCTTTTGCAGACTTGAAATTTTATTAAATAAAAAGCCATCATACTTTCACTCAATTTAGCAACTACATGTTTCCTTAGTCTTTAGTTGCTTCAGGAGTTTGTAGACAGCACTGAGTTAGCCTGCTGTTGTAAAGTAAGATGAAGGAAAGCCTGACTGAATGTGGTAAACTGTATTTTCCAGAAATGGCTGTGGACAAAGACTATTAAAGGTTTTGTGGAATATAAGGTTCCAGTTGTCCTCCATCTCTCATTTCCTTCACAATAGATTACAGCTAAATTAAATATTTTTGCAGCTTATTCTTTGTATTTCTTTGACTGGGAACATGAGACTTTTTAAACATGTATGCGTGCTTCTTTAGCATGCAGGAAATGTACATGTATTTTACAATTTTTTTCCTAATAAAAATACATAGTTTCTTCACAACAGCTTAAAGAAAATAATCATCCCTAATTCATCCAGAAGTTGGCATATTTCCTTCCCATCTTTTTTTTTTTATCCTTCCCATCTTTTAAGTATACAAAAATACTGTTTTATTTGTAGTCACTGTGTAGCCACATGATTAGCCTCTTTTGTTCCTCTCTGAGGTTCTTTAATTCAGAGATTAGGTAGCTTAAGCCCAAGTGTGCCCTAGTGATCTCTCATTAGTCTTCTGAGGCCAGAGGACTATTCTTGTAGCTCAGCCTCATTTCTTATGAATCTTGAACACATTTCTCCAGTTATTAACAAACACCTGAAAATCTGTTAATCACAACCATTAAATTTACTTTTGGAAACACTAGGTAACCCAGCTGACGTAAAATATGCATGTTTAAAACTAGAATATTTAGAAAGTCACCCAGTGTCTAGTCCTAATGCAACATTGGCACATTCACTTATGTCTTTATAGGCCAATTATATACCCCAACTACTACAAGTTAATGCATTAAAAAGAGAAAGTTCCACCTTTATGTATTGAATTAAAATTTATTGTAAAAGGCAGAGTTTTATATATCCTTTTAAAAAATGAAAATTCAAAAGTCTTAGAGTTAAGCAATGAGGCTTCAACATTATAAAGCTATTTATAATAGTAATTAAAGTAGTGGTAACATTTTACCCTTATAAAAATGTCACAGCATTCAAATCACAACTTGGATCCTCAATGATTCAAGCGTATGATCTTATACAGTAAGGGTTTGGTCAGTTTTAAAGATAAAATTCCTCCAGATATGCTGTCCTCAAGTCCTCTACCATCACCATCCATCAGCTCACACAGTGGGATAGCTGGCTGCTGTGGCAATTCCACAATGGTTGTTCTGGTCTTTGGCCATTTTTACGTAGCCATTCCAGCCCCATTCTGGACCCCAGCTGAAAAAAGAACATGTTTTCCATTTTATGCAAAGAATCAAGTACACATTAGTTTCATTAATAATAGCTAATAATTAAAATAGTACTTATCATGTATTAGGTCAATTTTTGTTACATAGGTCAAGTTTTGTTACATATATTTATATTACTCCTGTGGGTCCTTATCTTTACTTTTTAAGGTAGGAAATTGAGGCAGAACTGAGATTCCAATGTAGCAGCCTGTCTCCACAGGCTATCTTACACCTCACTTTAAAGAGCTTTAGCTGTGAAAATTGATTCTTACAACCCTCAAAGACCTCTAAGCGCTGGGAGTAAAATGCAATGGCAGGACCTCAAATGATAATAGAAAGAAAGGATGCACAGAGGCCACTGGACTCTTGGACAATCTTTCAGATTGAAAGAATCAGTAGAGGCAGATGTTTTTTGCCCACTATTCCTTGTTCAAAAATTAGAGACAGAAAAAGGAAGGCAGCTCTCAACTCTACAGGTGAAAAATTCTTTATCTAAAACCCTTGGGCTAGATGTGTTTCTGAATTAAAATTTTCAGAATTTAAAAATGCAATGTTACAAATATATACTAATAACCCCAACAAACTCACTACAGAATCTTATAATCACATATTAGTACTTCTCCGTTTACTCTAACAAGAAGAAAGACTTTCTGGGATTTCAAAATTTTTGTACCTGTAATTAAATACTTCCCTTTTCAATTTAAAATGTAACATTTGGGGTTTTATACCTGTTCTTGACAATCCAAAATTTATTGTTATTTGAATCTGTTCCTTCAAAGCCATAGCCAACCACCAAAACACCATGATCCAGGTCTTTGCTGCTGCAGTCTGGATCATAATAAATACCTGGGAGAGTAAAATTCAGTGTTGGGATAAGGAGCTCCAAGTGACACATGAAAGTAACCCATCCTATCAACTAATTAAGAGAAGCATCTCAAAATTCAATGAAACATCATAAACAAATTCCAAATAAGACTTAAATAGTCAACCAAAAATAATGACTGATGAAAAATAAAAATAAAAACAACTTACTAGAAATCAACAAAATTCAACAAAATAGATAAATTTTCCACCTAAAAAAGGTTTCCAATAATACCTACTAATAATAATTAGCATAATCCTCTTGACTCCTTGAATGTCAACTAAGAAAATAGCACAAAACAAAAAAAATACTTGAACTATTGGATTCTTTACAGTTCTAACTATAATAGTAAAACACTTTGAAGAAGGGCCCAACAATTGAAGAATAGTTACATATAGGTTGTATATAAAGAATTAATTACATAGCCATTTAAAAACATTTATGAAGAGTTTGTCATCGTGAGAAAATGCTTAAAGCATAATGTCAAATGGAAACACCATTATTAAATGAATACACTCAAAAAAATAAATAAATGGACTCAAAATTCTTTAGTCCTAGAAAACAGGACTCCAACCCAAAGTCAGTCATGGTGGTGTTTTCCAATTTTGACTGCCTGAATTTCTATAATAGAAGACAAACACCTACCTGATTTATAGAACTGGAAGGATGCATGGCCTGCATCAATAGCAACAGCGATGGGGCCCACAGTTGCCACTGCCTTCATAAGGGCCTTCTCCCGCTGAGGGATGTCAACGAAGCCGGTGTCATTGGCAGCAGAACACTCAGGCTTATAGTTACAGCTATTTGTGTCCTTTTAAAGGTAAAGGGGAAAAAACTTGATTACTACCACTCACCTGGGTAACATGAATTCTAGGACCATTAAGACTCAGCAGTTTGCAACTTAATGATTTCTAAGTCAATTTTGTTATAAAGCAGCCCAGAAAAATGCTACTGATTGGTTTGAAGTTGAAAAAGTAGTAGATATTTCTTCAATGAGGCCATTAAGATCTACCTGGCCATAATAAATTTTTCACTATGAAGAAATATGCATTATATACAGAATGGTGTTTCCTACCTGGCGCTAGGGGTAAAGAATCCACCTGCCAATTCAGGAGACATAGTAAGACATGGGTTAGGAAGATCCCCTGGAAGAGGGCATGGCAACCCACCCCAGCATTCTTGCCTGGAGAATCCCATGGACAGAGGAGACTGGCAGGCTACAGTCCATGATGCCACAAAAGACATGATTGGCGCGACTTAGCACGCATGCACACACAGAATGGTGCGCATATTCTCCATGTTGCATAGAAGACAAACTACGTTAACCATCTAAAATCAGAGACCTCTGCAATAGCTGATAATTTATAGTGGCAGTTCTAACAGTTTGCATCTAAAATGTGAATGTGGAATAAGGTGTCTCTTATCTCTGAAAATGTTAGAAAGCAGAGCTGTAATGACAAAATAAGGAGCTCCTTTTACCGTTGCAAGATATGGATAAGATTCCTCTGAGTCCAGGCCTCCGTTGTCCTTAATATACTGGAAGGCATTATCCATGAGGCCACCATTGCAACCCTGATTGCCTTGAGGCCGAGAGCAGTCCACCAGGTTCTGCTCACTCAGCGAAACAAGTTTGCCAGTTTTCCGGAACATCTGTCCTTCAAGAGCACCAGTGGCACTAAATGCCCAACAAGAACCACACTGACCCTGAAAATAAAAGAGCCATCAGTTTACAAGACATATACAAAGACCAACAACAATCCATATACCTAAACACTCTTAAGAAGATCTGAATTTGAATACAGTCATACCTGATTCTTCACAGGAGTTACATAGCCTTTCTTAGTCCAATCCACAGATTTGGGGACATCAATAAGGAGAGGTTCACGGAACACTTTCCCCTTCTTATGCTTCTGATTTCGAAAACCATTCATCACCTGCCTAAATTCTTCATTGGTCTTTAAGGAAAAGTAAGTAAAATGTGGAAAAAGAAGTTATTTTGCTAAAGTACTGAGGAGAGGAGGTACAAGAAATTCAGCAACTCATGCTACACTCACCATGTCACCAAAGGCATTCATTGCCATGGTGAAGCCATGTTTCCCTTGGCTGTATTCCTGATTATGCAGGTCAATTATTTTCTTATTCTTTTCCCACACTGCTCTCCTCCATCCTTCTTCATTCTAGATGTAAACATGTAACTGATCATTTTAATTTCTACTTAAAACCCAACCCACATTCACCAAATGGATTTTCAGGCAGAAAAAATTATTGTTAGGAATGGCTTTATACTTCTGGGAGCTGTTCTCCAAACTCCCACACAGGAATATATGCCCATGCTGTGCTCAGAAATACATGCTATTAAGTTACTACCTTGATCAAAGTTGACAAAACTACTCCAGAAACTATTCAGACCAACAGCACAGACCATTCTCTGTGGGGGTCCCTCTGGACATTTTCAGATGTTACCAACCATGCCATATAACCTCTTGTGCGTTGCCTTCCACTGGTGCCAATGTGCATCTAAATTTGGATCAAGTTTTGGAGCAGCTGAGGCTACTCCCAAGCAAAGGACAGTCAGGAAGAATGAAGGATTCATGTTTCAAAAGCCTAAGAAAGAAAAAGAAATTAGTAAGTATTTGATGAGGCCAATCCTTAAATAAAAAAAGCTTTCTTCTGAGATGTTACAGCCACTATAGTGGACTGAGAACATTTAAATGATCTTCTCAAATATTTATGAAAGGTCTGTAGAAAAAGATTAAAGATACAGATGGAGAAAAACATAAAATATTACACAAAATTATTATTTTGATTCAGCCAGCAAATTGAGAAAACAGGCTGACAAGTGCTATAGGAATTGAAACCGACTTCACTATGAGTGCACTGAAAATTCACCGTGGTAAGGATCGCTCAGCTGGTAAAGAACCCGCCTGCCAATGAAGGAGACGAAACAGACTCCAGTTCAACCCCTCAGTCGGGAAGATCCTCTGGAGAAGGAAATGGCAACCCACTTAGATATTCCTGCCTGAAAACTTCCATGGACAGAGGAGCTTGGCGGCTACAGTCCATGGGTCGCAGACTCGGAGAAGACTGAATGCACATGTATACAGGTACGCAAGGGTCTCTGCCATCTTATGGGTTGGGGTCTTAAGATAATAATAGCTAGGAAACCGTTGGTTCAGGTTACTGAAGGTACGGAGGTGACGAAAATTTTTTATCAGGACGTCTGATCCAAAGTAGGGACAGACATGAATCCCGAAGAATTAGGTGCTACCTCACACCTTTCTTCTTGACTAATAAACGGCAGAGGGAGAGTTACACCTTCGAATCTTCGCTACCTGAAAACTTTCTGAAAAGCCTCCCCAAGACAAGGTGGGCCGAAGTGCACCCAGCCCTCCACCCGTCCCTCCCCCTGTCCTGTGTAGCCCACACTCCTTCCCTCTCCCTCAAACTGGCACGCGATCACGATGGCGACCTGAGCCCCAGTTCTCGAGCCGGATAGGGCCAGACTCTGACTCCCAGGGCTGGGAGAACCCGGCCGGGCTGAGCTCGCACCAGAGCTGCAGGTGGGGCCAGCCCAGGAACGTGCCGCCCCACTCTCAGGCCTCCGCACGCCGGTCGCTTCCAGAGGATGTTTACGGTGGCGCAGCGACCGACTGGTCCCGTAACCCGGCGTTCGGAGGTCAGACTACCGCGATCCACCCGGACTCTGTGCCCGCTGTCGCCCAGAGACTGACCGGCCTAGTCCCCACTGTGGTCTCAGCTTCGCCCTGGGTTTCCCAAAAATGGCCCTTCCCCCTTCACCACCTCAAAGAGGCCAAAGCTCCAGGCAGTGCCGACCCAACTTCGTTAACTCCCGGCGGGTAGACGCTGTTGTTTCCTGGAGGTCGCGCCTACTCCCTCCCCCGAGTCCCTGGATATCGCCTCCTCCAGTCTCTGGCCCGGACCCGCCTCAGCCTGACTGGGTCCCTGACCTGCGGCTTCCAAAGCTGCGCAGGCGCACTCCACGGTCGCACGTATGTCTCCAAAGGTCGCCGAGGTCCGAGGTGCTGGCCAGGTCGCGCTTGACTCAGCCTTTAAGGCCTGGGTTTGCGGCCCGCCCGGCCCGGCCCCTCCCGCCTGCCCGCGCGGCGATTGGCTGAGCTGTCAGCGGGCAGGGCCTCCGGGCGTGGGTAGGGTACTCCGGGCGCGTGATGAGACTCTGTTCCAACTTGTCCCAGGGAAGGCCGTCCCCGCCTCCATGGAACCGAATACGAAGAGCTGGGGGTCCGTGGGCAGTGCTGAGGAGGGGTCCGGCGCCTTCCTGGGGACCAGCATCAACTAATTACCTCCAATCCCTATGCTCGACTGGGTTCACCAAAAGAAGCTTACAGGGAGCCCCAGCTGGATTTTCAGTGTAACTCTGTACCTCCTTTAGTCCTAGAGTTTTTGGTGAAAATCTGCGGGAGGACTGAGAACTGTCTTGTCTAGGGGTTCCCGCTTATTCAACAGCAAAGGTGAAGCAGGCTGGAGGAACCCTGGGCCCGCAGGCGGATGTGTTCCCTCCCGGGTTGAGGGTGGTACCAGCTGGATTTGAGAAGAATCAGAGCGAATGGCAGTTCCTCAAAGCTTGTGACTGGTCACTGCCCAAATCTCAGGAGGCGAAGGGGTGGGCTGGGTGGGTATGCAGAGGCGTGTATGCCCGTTTCCTATTTTTCCCAGTCAGGGGGTCTTCTCGCCTTTCAAGCCTATCTTAAAACCAACAGAAATGAGCTATTTACAGAAAATTTGTCTTAATATAAAGAAGAGTCGAGGAAAAAGGGTGGAAACCACTTTTGCTTCCCCACTCTCTGGATTATGGATTATTTGTCTTCCTTCAAGAGAAGGATAGACTGTCTCACTTCAAGAGAAGTATCCAAAGTACTTCTCTTGAGATGTGAGAAATCCACTTCTAAAATGTGGTTTCATTATGTTTAATGTTAGGATTTAGGTTTACATGGTTAGAAGAAATGTTTTGGATAGAGGAAAAAATGGAGAGCTAGAAATTTGAGGAAATTAATTCAGAAACTTTTTAAAAAGTTACTTAAAAATTATATAAGAAACATATTCATTATAGAAAGTATATTTTAGAAAATAAACACCCTCAACCGCTCACCCATAACTCTTTTATATGTATATAACAAAAATAGAGTCATGGTGCGTATCAATTTGAAAACTCTTAGTTAAAATTAGTAACCTTCGTAGAAGCACAAACATTTTTAAAAATCAATTTATTAAAAATGTCTATTTTATGTTCTTTGAAGTAGAATCTCTTTCCTTTCAAACATAGCTAGCAGCCAGGAATTCTCAGGTGCTTACAGAAATATATACTGTATGGCAAATGACTAGAAATTTTTGTTTTGTTCTTTTTCTTTTCTTTATTTAGAAGTAGTTGGGGTGATCAGTGGGGCTTCCTAGGTGGTTCGGTGGTAAAGAATCCACCTGCTAATGCAGGAGACGCAGGAAATGCGTCTTTCTGGATTAGGAGGCTCCCATGGAGGAGGGCGTGGCAATCCACTCCAGTATTCTTGCACGGAGAATCCCTTGGACAGAGGATCCTTACGGGTTACAGTCCATAGGGTGGCAAAGAATTGGACACTTGAGCAACTTAGTATGTACACACGCATGGCCTTCAACGCAAGTATCATTCACACGTGGAAATAAGTGAAGAGCACCTGCATGGGAACAACTTGTTCCCTACATGGAAACAACATGATATAAGGAAGGACACAAATCTTGTCTGGGTGATGGAAAGCTTTTTAATGAGAAAAGTGGAAAGTTTCCATAATCCCTGATTGGAGGCTGTTATTATAAGCAAGCTGGAAGAAGAGTACCTAAAAATGATACATTTTACGTTTTGGGAGAATATTTTGATTTCTCTGGTTTGTCCTGGAATTGGAAGCAAAAAGAAGTTGTTAGCCACTCACTAAGTCCTGACAGTTCTGAAGTGGTTGCTGCAGTTTTCTTTTGTGGGTCAGAGTTCTGTTGTCAGATGAAGACGAACCATTGTCCATTTGTTTACTCAGTCTATCACAAGAAATCTAAGTTATTCTAACACGTGGGTTTTACAGTTGCCCTTGGGTCACAGCTCCTTAAGATTGCAGAGGGTGGAAAAACCTGCCACTTTGTGACTGTCTGCCTTGAGCAATACAGACTGGAGGCTGTATAACTGGTGCTACTCCAAAGAATGGCATCTCCTTTGTTTCTTGGAATGTGGTAAAAACTCAATGGAGGGGAAATGGACTCTTTTTTTCGTTTAAGCAAATATGCTCAAACCCTAAAATTAAGAAATATCTAAATTCAGGAAAAGGCCGTTTAAACAAGACCATGAATTATTGCTCAAACTCATGAAATCTGCTAACAACATTATCTCTTAAATAATGCATTACAGAGTTATGTTATTACTAATCATTATGTTCCTTTTCTTCTTCTATTCCCACTGCTTTGCAAAGTAACTTAGGTGAGTGTCAATTATTGAAACAGTCACATTTTAGCCAAGTAACCAAGCCTTAGCTCTGCTTTTGATAAAATGTGGTTGGTATAACAATTACCTGTGAAGGGATATTTTTGTGTGAATCTGTCTAGATTTCTTTTGCTTACTTGTGACAGGATATAAATTCTTTATCCCATCTCTGGAAGTTTAAACCTAGTGGAATGAACAAATCTTATGTGGTGGTATTCAAGACCCTGAGGCCACTTAACATCTCTCACCAATATAACAGCCCCCTCTAATTTGTTTAACTTCAATGAGCCATTAATTACTCCTAAAAATCATTATCCAATCCATTTGTAAAGTGTTTTACTAGTTATAATTTAATAGAAAAGTGTTTATAATTTTATAAAAAAGTGTTTGTTTATGATTAGATGTTCAAATGAAGCCACTTAAGAAATAACCTATTTTTCTAACCTCTGTAACCTTGCTTTTCCTATAGGGTTAAACAACCAATTTATTAAGTGAGTAAGTAAATCTACAAGAATTAATCGAATTCTTACTTTGTGCTTGTTGACCACTCCTGGTGTAGTTTGTTCATTTACTTAGACATGTCTACATGTAAAGACATCCCCAGTGGCTCAATAGTAAAGAATCTGCCTGCAGTGTAGGAGACACGGGAGACATGGGTTCAATCATTGAGTCAGGAAGATCTCCTGGAGAAGGAAATGGCAATCTAATTCCAGTATCCTTGCCAGGAGAATCCTGTGGATAGTGAAGCCTGGTGGGCGGCAGTCCCTAGGGTTGCAAAGAGTCGGACACAACTGAGTAAACAGAGCACACAGCACACACATTCTACATATAACTTTCCTGACAACTTTTCTGAAGCTCAGCCTTTCCATTAAAAAAAAACTAAGATTAACTACAGTAGTCTTGATTCTCCAGCATATGTGCACAGCCATGATCAATATATTTAAATGAGATTATGGCAAAGCATATTGGTGCAGTAGGTAACATAGGAGCTGACCTTGGGGGATTTTCCCCTACTCCTAAGATTATAAGGAGCTTCCCTTGTGGCTCAACTGGTAAAGAATCCACCTGCAAGGCGGGAGACCTGGGGTTGATCCCTGTATTGGGAAGATCCCGTGGAGAAGGGAATGGCTACCGGCTCCAGTATTCTGGCCTAGAGAATTCCGTGGACTGTATACTCCATGGGGTCTCAAAGAGTCGGACACGACTGAACAACTTTTTTAAACTTTTATTTAAGATTATAAGAGGATCTCTTCCTAAAATCTGAAAGTCTCTTAACGAAACAAGGTATGTTAGTTTCTTATGGTTGCTATAGCAAATTCCCACAAGCGTGGTGGCTTAAAATAACAAGAATTTACTCTCTCACAGTTGTGGAGATCAGAAGTCCAAAATCAGCATCACTTTGTGTTGAAAACCAGGGGCTGATAGGAGAGAACCTGCTCCTCCCTTCTTCCAGCTTCTGAGACCGCCAGGCACGCCTTGATTTGCGGCTGCATCACTCTCATCTCGGCCTCGGTGGTCACATTGCCTTCTCCCCTTCAGTCTGTGTCAAATATCCCCCCACCTCCCTCTTATAAGAATATTTAGGCCCACCCAGATAATTTAGGGTAATCTTTCCATCTCAAATACTTAATCACATTTGCAAAATATTTATAAGGTAACATTTACAGGTTCCAAGAATTAAGACCTTATATGTTTGGGGTCCTAACATGGTATAAGTAAAGAATGGTATAAATGAGAAGCAGTTTTTTTTATTGTGTTTCAAACTTGTGTTTAACATATCTTTAGGCTGGCTTCACTAGTTAGCTAGGCCCTGTATGGCACCTTCCCACTCTGTAACTTCTTTCTCATGTACCCTATTGCAGACAACAGTTTTTGCCTTGACTCTCCTGTTAGTGCAAAGTTTGACACAGTTTTTTAGGTTTCAAGACTCCCACACAGCAGTTTCTATTACCTCCCTTTCCCTCCTCCTTTCACAACCACCTATTCCATGGTCTCTGCATATAAAAGCATTGCTCACCCATTCCTACCCTGAGATACTTCTGGTTTAGACCTTGAGCATCTTTCTATTGCAATCATCCCTATTAATAAAGTCTTTCCCTGGACATACTGCATCATTATGTGAAGAGGTCAAGACAGAGAAGACCTTTGTGTTGTTAATAGAGCTTGCATATATTCATGGGGTGGGGGTATGGGGGAGCAGTGTTCCATAGGAAAGATAACTCCATCTCTGAATACCTGGTACTTTTGGAAATTAAAGCATGATCAGAAAAAATTCCCCTGATGATAATGATGATTCTAATAGCTAAATAACACAGTTGCCAGGCACTGTTCTAAGAATGTTTTTTGTGGGCCTTCATTTAAGTTCCCAACAACACTATGACAGTAATTCTCAAACTTGAAGTGCATCAGAATCACCCGGGGGGCAGGGCAGCGGCTTGTAACAAATCAGACTGCTGACCTCTAACCCCCAGTGTCTGGCAAGGCAGACAGTGTCAGTGGATCTGGCATGGGGTTCCTAAATTTGCTTTTCTAATAAGTTCCCAAGTGATGTAGATGTTTCAGATAAGGGGACCCACATGGAGAACGACTGCCCCAGGAGACAGGTGCCCCATTTTACAGAAGGAGATGGTCATGGCAGTGGGCTATACAAAATCAAGGGTGGTGCCAGATTCCTCTCTAAAGTGAAGAAATAAACACACTTGAGGAAGGTAGAGTTTAGATAAGGAAGCTGAGCTTTGGAGACTTGGCCTTTGTCCCTCACCCCCAGCCCCCATCCCTCACTCTGCAAATTGGATTCTGGTTGCCAGAGGGCACAAGGAAAATGAAGCACTGAGGAACCGTGA